ATCCAGTTCCATTATTCTCATGTTAAGCAAAAATCCATGGCTTCGGAGGTGGCCAAATGACGGGATATCTCGGACCGCGCAGTCAGCCCAGTGTGTGGAGCGACGAACAGAAAGTCAGGCTGCAATGGATCGTTCTCAATGCGGCTTTTATAGCACTCCCAGTCCGTGGGATCCGAGCCGGGCAAGTAAGCATGCCTAGAGGCGGCTCCGGCTGCGCAAGATACTTGTATCCTCTTCCGCCTCCGGTTTTGTTGACTCGATCATGAAACCAGACCCGGGGAGAGAATGGAACAGAGTGCAAAGAATACAACTTCAGTCTACTACCACTTCAATCTCATCTACACATACATCACCGCATTTTCCTTCGGTATGCTGAAGTATGCAGTGGACATCGTCGAAATCGACGATCACCGCTGCTGCTGACTTCTGAATAGGTTCTGATGGAAAAGCGCAGAAAAGTCAACTCAGAAAAAAAAAACAGGTAGTACTATTTGAATCACATTATTGATTGCTGAAGTGTGTTAACGTTTCTGGACACCATTAACTAAAGCCTGACGGTGCACATTCTTCCCCATTATAACGCAAGTATCTACCGGCCTCATTTTAACCTCTGTTCCAACAGTCCAGGCAATTCTTCTGATAGAAACGACATGACGATTGTCAGTTCAGAAACAGCAAACCATGCATAGTTTGTCAACCAACTAAAAATAATGAATGAATTGTTTATGCGCATCAGCCAATGATTGCAACTGCAGGAATTAGTTGAATGACTCCAATGCGTGTCGCTGGAGAGCGGAATAGACAGACTGAAACAGACGATTATTCGAACTACCACATTGTCCTTCGCTTTGAGCTCGGCTTTCAGTGGGACATTAGACCTCAAGGGTCAGTATCGGTTACTTTTCGCCGACACCGGCATGTATTCACTTAGCATTCAAATTATGGTCGTATGGTGAGTCGAATTGCCTAAATTCTAGTTAGTTTTAGACCAAAAACCGCTTTCATAATAGCATAGCTGTGACTAGTGCCGAAACAGATAAAG